ACAGTTATATTGTTCTTGCGGCAACAGGCAATCGATAGAAACAGTCAAAGAAGGCAATCAATATCGATCGGCCTTTTAGTTTATCAAATATTACACAAATTGCTCATTTGATTGATGTGGTATTTTATTCTATTCCCCTCTATCTGTCTAGCATCCATTTAGAATTTATGAATGGCCTGCCACTGCTCAATTAGTGCCAGAACTGCCAAAATGAAAGTTCTGCGACACAGAAGTTCAAGTTCGAGTTTGTGTAGTGGAGTAAGCAGGTATTTCGTCGTGTTGATGGCATGCAGTGTACAAGCTCTCGTCATCTTTTAATGTAAGTCAGCGAATTGTTCCATCGAATATGTGTCGAAAGGCCAATATATTCCCCTTGTGGACTCCGGGACCCATTTGTCAACGAGAGTGGCGTGGGGTTGACCCACTGTCTCTGCCTTCCCTAAAAAAACATGCCGTAAAAGTCGACTAAGGGGTGTTTAGAGGTCATGGCTCATACCATTGTCACGGTCAACTCAAAGAAGTCTGCTATAAGATCGCCTTCGGTTGACTTCTTCAAGTTCGAGTAGGTCGGGATTGTCAAACATCGTTATTATGCCTAAACAACACACGCCGAGCATAAGAAGATGAAAGATGTTGAAAAGATATCATGTCTCTTAGCTATTGCATAGGTTACTGTTGATTACTGTGTTTTATGTTAAACTAAGGTTTAGGTTTAGACGACAGATCAACATCATGGCACAAGGGTAGTAACCCATAAGTGCTCCGTTCTACTTGTAACTCAAGCCTGAGTCCGAAGAATCTCAGCACAGTGCATGAACTCCAGCGCACCGGCGGGGATCCTGAAATACTTTGAGTAGATTTTTAACTTCAAATTTTGCCCGTTCGGCTACTCCCTTCGATTTTAAACTACCAATGGATTTTTTAAAACGCGCGCAACAATACACATGGGCGTCCGATCTTACTACCCAGAGCCCAGGGAAAACTACTAGAAGTCCAAGTTAAAAAATCCCAGCCTTTATCGGGACCTTATAAATAAACTGTGTTTTATTTTAAACTAAGGTTTAGGTTTAGACGACAGATCAACATCATGGCACAAGGGTAGTAACCCATAAGTGCTCCGGGACATTGAACTCTGGACCTCAAGCCATATCTAGAGACCACGTTGACCATATTTTGAACTAAGCTTTATTTTAAACACTGCAGTGGATGGGGTGTGGTGATAATTTCACATATACAACCAGGTTGGATGTCAGGAACTGGGCTCTCATTCGTTGTTTAATCAAGCTGATTGCAGATGAGTGTAAACAATGGCGTGCTAAAGTTTCGCGCTCGATTGCGGTATCTGCCTGTTTGTGGTCTGCCCATCAGGTTGTACAAAGCAAATCTATGTATGTTAACTGTTGCAGCCCCGAACAATGCTGCTGCAATACTTTATCATATAGTGTGTAAGTAGAGTAAAGGTCCCTTTTCAGAGCCTTTTTGGCGTTTATGACATATAGGGCAAGACCTTTATTTTTATAGTCTAATCGGCACAAGATGGGTGATGTGGTCAGCATCACGTCGGCTGCCTTTACTTTCCGGGACAGCACCCACTCAAGGATGGGTTGACCTGGGAGTCAAGGTCATGTTTAAAAAAGGTCTGGCTCCGCCAGGGAGCGAACCCACGACCTTCTGTTCCGCACGCTATCGTCTAGCCGCTTCGCCATGATAAAGTGTGTACTTAAAAGAAACAGCCTTTGAGTCTTAATGAGTGTAAAAAAGGATGCGCTTTGAGATAGGGTGATGTAGAATAGTATTTTGGATTATATGGGTTAATGTAACGGAAGAAGAAGAAAGAAGGTTAACTAATGGTGGGCTGCTCGGTGATGGCAGAGTTATAGTTCAATAAGGGGAGCTAATTTTAATACCTGGAAGTAAGTTGAGGACAATCAGCCGAAACTGTGAGATCGGCCAAATTATGCCGAGATAACGAGGTGTGTATGTGTGTGTGTATGTGTGTGTGTGTGCACGCGCGCACTAAGACTATTGAAGAATTTTTTCCGTACAGGCGGAGACGCTAAATACTATTATAATAGAGGGCGAGAGCGGGCTCAGTGGGCTTAAGCCTTGTACATAATAATAATAATAATAAATTTCATTGTTTTTAAGAGTTGTACGGCAATTACGAGGGGAAGTTAAAAAGAAAGTCACAAATAATGGGATCATGGACGCTACAAACTTTGAGAAGTATCTGAAAGAGCGTATCAAAGTTGACGACAAGACTGGCAACTTTGGAAATAATGTCTCCTTGGAATTGCAGAAAAACAAAATCAACCTGACTAGTGAGGTTCCCTTCTCAAAGAGGTATCTCAAGTATTTGACAAAGAAGTACTTGAAAAAGAACAACCTCCGTGACTGGCTGAGAGTTGTAGCATCCTCTAATGAAGCTTTTGAGCTACGCTACTTTCAGATTAACCAGGACGAGGAAGAGGAGGAGGAAGATTAAATACTTGTCAATAAATTCAGTTTATAAATAAAACTGTTCTGATATAAAACAAAAACAAAAAGTAGATGGTGGTTTCTTTAGGTGTCATTAAGTGACAGCAACATGGAACGTTACGTCTCCGTTCGTTAGGTGACGCTAGGTGCAGCATGCGTATGCGCAACACAGAAACAAAATGGCGAATGTACTTACGGAGTGAACCCTCAAAGAACAATATACCGTATGCGTCTTTTTTAGGGGGGGGGGGGGGGGGGAGGGGGAAGCTGCCTGCAAAGGATATTCATAAAGAAATGCTTCATGTCTATGTTGACAAATGTTTATTCCGTAAAGCGGTGCAAAGCTTGGTAAAAAATTTTTCTCAAGGACGTTCTATGATTGTTGATGAAGCCGATTTTGTCGTCCTTTTGAAATTGCAACAGACACATCTATGTTGTGGGTGCAGGAGATGATTAAAGGTGACAGGCGAGTAATGGTTGACGCTGTAGGATTTGGTGTACGATCCCTTAAAAACCCATCTTGGCTGAAGTGAAAATGTGGTTTAGAAAACAGAGCACGCAGTTCTATTCAGCAGCTGTGGAAGGGCCCATAAAACGAAAGGACAAGTGCATCATTGTTGGTTGAAATTATGTTAAAAAAAAGGGACAGTGCATGTGTGTAAGAAAAAGAAGAAGAAGAAGAGTTGGAAGAAGAAGGAGAATTGGAAGAATAACAATAATTGAAAGAAGAAGAAGAAGAAGAAGAAGAAGAAGAAGAAGAAGAAGAAGAAGAAGAAGAAGAAGAAGAAGAAGAAGAAGAAGAAGAAGAAGAAGAACAAGAAGAAGAAGAAGCAGAAAAAGAAGAAGAAGAAGAAGAAGAAAAAGAAGAAGAAGAAGAAGAAGAAGAAGAAGAAGAAGAAGAAGAAGAAGAAGAAGAAGAAGAAGAAGAAGAAGAAGAAGAAGAAGAAGAAGAAGAAGAAGAAGAAGAAGAAGAAGAAGAAGAAGAAGAAGAAGAAAAAGAAGAAGAAGAAAAAGAAGAAGAAAAAGAAGAATTAGAAGAAGGAGAGGGAGAGGAAGAAGAGGAATAATAATATAAATAATAAAAAGACAAACAAGAAGAAGAAGAAGATCAGTTTTTAACCGCACATACCATTATGTGTATTTGCTGTGAACATTACATGTGCCGTAATTGTAACTTTATTGAACGAACGAACGAACGAACTTTTTTTCCCCGCGTCGTCAGATAAGCTTCATTCAATGACATGTCTAAGGTACAAAGGAGGCCGCATGAATTTTGCTGGAAAGATCGCTTTTATCTCACGGGGAAATGAAGGTTGAACAGGGTATCTTTGATTTGCCCTTTTGATCTACAACCCAAGATGCGACACTTGAAGTCGAAGCGGTTGTCAAACATTTAGGTTGCAGCTGAAAGGGGAAATAGATACATAAACAAACTAACCCAGAAAGGATCAATAACGGACATAGCGAAACACCGCGCTTGTTGCGAGCTTAAAATGACTACCGGACGCGATGCTGAAACGAAAGATAAGCAACCTGCTGAAGCAGCTGGCCCGCCTCACATCTTGATCGATATTTCAGAAACAGATCGATAATTTTAAAAATCCTTAGGGTGTGCAGATATCTGGGTCGCAACACACGAGAGGCTGTGTGCAGAGTTGTTTATGTGTGGCTGGATCTCTCTATCTAAATCTCTATCTCTCTCTCACTGTCGCGTGAGGGCGCTGCCTCTAGGTTATATCTGTCGCTGTTTTCGCGTCGTCAGATAAGCTTCATTCAATGACATGTCCAAGGTACAAGAAGGAGGCCGCATGAATTTTGCTTTTAGGCGGGAAAGATCGCTTTCATCGCATGGAGAAATGTAGGAGAGAAGGTATTACAAATTAAGGAAGTATCTACATGAAAGAAGCTTGTTGACAACAAAGTTGGTTAAAAATCATCATCGTCATCTTTATCGTCATCATCGTCGTTGTTGTCGTCGTCATAAAACATCACGTCATTTGAACGTTCAGATGACTGTCTTCGTCTCCACTCTTATAGGCTCGTTTTCTCTCTCCAAGCTGAGGGTAGCGGTGTTCAATCTTGTTTTAGCTTCGACGCCATATGTAGAATTACCAACCAGGTCCTAGGTCAACGAGAAATAAAAACCTACCCCCCTGTTCTCATACAAACCCATGCCAAGAAAGATTATAACACTTGATCTACAAACTTTCAGACCACAGACAAAAAGAACGATCGTCGCTTTATAAAACGTGAAAAAAGTAAAGGACCCGTTTCCACGCATTTAGTCGTATAAGGCATATAGGGCTAGACCTAGATTTTTTATAGCCAATCGGCACAAAATGGGTGATGTGGTCAGCATCACGCCGGCCGCCTCTACTTCCTGAGACTGCACACGGTACCCACTCAAGGCTGGGTCGACCTGGGAGCCAAGGTCATTTTTGAAAAAAGTCCGGCTTCTCCATGGAGCGAACCCACGACCTTTCGATCCACGGCGAGCGTCGTCGCCTTATATTTCATGATGAAAGTCCACCGTCAACAACTCCTTATTGTCTCAAGTTTGTCCGGAACACAAGTTTCCCTAGCAGGATCAATGATTTGGCAACATCAGTTTATGGTTATCATCGTTTAGGTTAACCAAGAGAAGATAGAAATAGCTTGGCCACGTTATGATAATGGATCCTGATATGCCTGCCACAACAGCTCTCACATGGATATCAAAGGGAAAGAGAAAAAAGGGGCACCCAAAAACAACATGGAGACGAACGACGGATAGTGACCTGAATGCGGGATCACTGACATGGAAAACTGCATTGAAGATTGCACAGGACAGGAAAGCATGGAAAGTCCTTTCTAAAGCCTCATGTGCCACTAGGCATATAGAGAATTGATGATGATTGTTTAGGCGATCTCTTTTACGGTATTGAAATTTGAATTCTTTTTCTTTCCGCACAGAAACATATGTTTGTTATTGTTTAACTATTTGTGAGCTCAAGGGCCAGATTAAACATTAACTTTACGCCATTTTCGAAGGCCAGTAAAAAATTACCCGGTGGGTCATAACTTGCTCACCCCTGGCTTAAATGTACGTTTCTTGTCTCCACTTTTCTAGGTTCATTTGCTGTCTCCGTTTGCAAGCCTAGAGGTTTACATCTCATCTATATTCTTAGAGATTGACCTTCCCTCATTTTTGCTCACATGTTTGCCATTGCGTTTAGAGATTTTCCTTTCTTCCATTGTGTTAAAAGGGGGTTGTCCTCTACAGATTGTGTTTAAAGGGGTTGTCCTCTACAGATTGTGTTTAAAGGGGTTGTCCTCTACAGATTGTGTTTAAAGGGGTTGTCCTCTACAGATTGTGTTTAAAGGGGTTGTCCTCTACAGATTGTGTTTAAAGGTTTGCTTGGAGATTCTCCGTTCTCCCATTGAATTAAAATGGTTGTCTTCTTTGAAAGGCATTGATTATATAATAACTTCTCTTCCTTTTTAGGATGAAATTTTTCGTTATTTGAAGCCCTACTCTGGCTTTTGCCAGGGACCGCAATATAGCCTAGCCATAAATATGGCCTAAAGGCTGAACGCGGTTTCTGTGACCTCCACGGTGATCCTCACCCACACGGTGGCACTCTGTGTCATCGGGTGTTTATCGCTTGTGTGATGTCCTGGTGGGGTAGAAAGTCAATCAGTCGGTTGTCTTCTACTTAAGGTTTTTATGACGATTCGGCTTCGACAAAGTGTTTACGCCATGCTCACGGTGCCAGCTGGTCTTCACATAAAAAGGTCTAGCACAGTGTGTTGGAAGTGCCACTCTTGTAACCTGTATCCTTTAGTTAGCTGAATATAAAGTCAGGTAAAGGACCTTTTCCCACGCCTTCAGGCATTTTAGAAACATAAGGCTAGACCTATATATTATAGACCAATCGGCACTCTGTGAATTATATGGTCAACATTATGCCGGCCGCCTTTACTTCACAGGACTGTACCTGGTACCCGTTTAAGGCTGGATCGACCAAAGAACCAAGATCATTTTCGTTGAAAAAAAAAAAAAAAAAAACGTCAGACTCCATCAGAATCTAAATCCACGACGTTTAAATCCGCAGGCGAGCTTGTAGCAGTTACACCACAGTGGCTCTCTACTGAATATACATGACTGGGATCATCCGAAAACTGTTTTGATGGAAAATAACAGAATCTGCGACTTCTGGTGATTGAACTCCGGTCATTGACCAATCGGTAAAGAGCACTAACTACTATGACACCATGGCTCATTTACATTGTTGTCCCGTTTCTGAATGACAGTTTATAAATTAGAGAAGTAAATAATTCAGCAGCGAATGGGTTAAAGCACTCATTTTGCATACGGACACCGTGGTTTCAATTGGTGGGGAGGTGTCGAACCTAGACGACCTGTAAACGAATTAGTCGGTTTCGCGCGGCTTTTTAGAGCATTGGTGATGACCCCCTGCGTAAGGACAGCTTGTTGAAACAGGGCTGCCCAAGTTAGTACTTTCGCACAAATATGAAACTATTTGACCCATGCCGAGCAAAACTGTACTTTTGGCACCACGTCCAATGTTTTGGTCGGTTTTAGAATTTTGCATCAATATTCTAAATTGTGGCTTTCTGTTGAATTCAAAGAAAAACGCAAAAGTGATTGCGAGTGTGCTGAAAATAAACACGATGCAAATGCTGATGCAAATGTACCATTTGACGTGATTGGTCAAGTACGCTTTTTGTGTCATTTTCAAAGGCCATTTTAAGAGTGTCCGTCCAGACAACCGGCATATAGAACTTTAAAAATTTTTTTTCAGAGGTAGAAAGATGCCCACTCTTTTATGATTCCGTTCATTACAAAGTATTTTGTGTAATTTTTTAATACATGTATAAATGTCCTATAATTATTTTTTTTTAAATTGCTGTTTGCGTTTAAATTTCCGATATGAGCGAGCATTAAATTTGAATGTTATCTCAAATAGTTATGATGGTGATAACGATAATACTACTATGAAAATA